GCAAATTTAAATTTTCGCTAGTGCTGTGGCGCTGCAATCTTCGGCTATGTCTTGGGCTACTCAAATATTTTACGTTTTTGATACTAAATTAACTTCTGAAGTATAATTTTTTATTGTTTTTATATTTTTCAATATATTTATTTTGTTTGTACAAAATAAAGAAATAATTTTTAACGATACAATAGCCTTTGTTAGGTTTAACATTGACGAAAATTCAACACACAGTGACACGCAACGGAGAAAAATTTCAACACGGGATAGGTTAATATATTTTTTCATACATAATCAGTTATCCGAAAAATAAGTTATCCGAACAACCCCAGTCCCCAATTGATTCGGATAAACGACGCTCTACTGTATATCAAAATCTAATATGTATTCTGAGTAAATAAATGTTTATTTGATAATTATATACTTTGTAAAAAATTAAACTAATAAACCCAACAAAATTGTTTTTGAAGTGAAGAGTGCGATACCATGTAACAATTTTGTTGAAGGGGGTGACGATTCCTTAGAGGTTGAGAAACAGTGTTCTAGATTGTTAAAGGAATTATACACTTGAATTTATTATTTTGGGATCTTCACATTGACTCTCATGTTGATAAATAACAAAAAAATGTGTCATACTAGAGTGGAAGAAAGTTCCCGAAATACGTCCATGGCATTGACAAAATAATGATGATCTGACAAAGCAAGCACTGTTATGGTTTCATGTTCCTTTTCTAAAGAAATAATTTGCAACATGAAAACTACAATGTGCTTTCATAGTATGTAAATAAAATTCATTTTTAATTTTTATAAAACATGCATACACAAGTACGTACAAAACTGTTATATCAACTTTGAAAATAAAAGAAATACATTAAAGCAACAATGTAAAAAAAATTTTCCCTGAAAACAAACAATTTTAATTTTAAATATTTTATCATATCAGTTTTGAATTACCAATGTAATAAATCAATAAATTACTGAAAATTAAAACTAAATAACATAAAATTTACCTTGCATAGCAGGACGATAATGCAAAAATCCATCTTTTGTTCCATTTAAGTAATATTGCACACACTGTTTAAATTTCTGAATTTTATCTTGTTTGTTTTGTCCAAATACTTGTGCACCAATAACATCTAAATTGTCAATTGATGGTAAATTACGAACAAATTCCACAACATCTTTAATCAACAAATCTGGATTATTTTGCTGTAGAAGAATTTAAAATATTTTTTAATAAAACAGTTGATATATTTAAAACCTAGTTCATTCTTTCCTCTTCTAAAAATGTATTCCAGTAATGTATTAAATTTAAATAATTATTCATTCTTAATATTTCACAGATTTTTCAGCATTAAGAAAACTGGAAAACATTTCTTTATTTAAAACAGCAGCTTCAATCTGCTATGTTCAATAAAATCTAAAAACATTTTATCTTTTTCGTATCTATTTTATGCAAATTAACTATTATATTTTTTCCACTGATTTTTGTTCTACAAGATATACTTAGAAATATTGGGTTGTTTGGAAAGTAATTTCATTTTTACCACCAGAGAGATTAGTTGTATTTTTACCCACCAATTTCATTCTAAATCATATTGTCATTATATATATTTTGACAGCTGACAATTCAAGACTTATTTGTAAAAAATTTTGTGATTCTTTGCAAATGTTTTTTTTTGTGTGTGTATGTGTGTGTTCCATTAAATACAGTCTATCCCCCTACAACACGGGTTCCTATAGTTCGGATTCCTATATGACAGCGAAAAAATTGCGACAGTATCCGTACAAACATGGTAAAAAACTCCTATAATTCGGTAAAACGTCATCGGGCAGCTGAACTACTTTCCGCCGTCCAGCACCACGCTACGGAGAGTTTAGGCAGTTAAATTGAGTTTACTATCGTCTGTACAGTATTATATATAAATTATATATAAATTAGGTACTGTACATATAATTATATATTAACTTAATTTATTGTAACTTTATTATAATTATATATATACTTTCTGCCGTCCAGCGCCATGCTACGGAGAGTTTAGGCAAGTAAGTTGAGTTTACTATTGTCTGTACAGTATGTAAATTAGGTACCGTAAGTCTAATACAGCACTAATTTATACATTTCTTGTGAAAGAAACATTTCTTATTCAACGGCGATTAAAATTATTTATACTAATGATGTCTCCAAAGTTCAACGAAGTTTTCACAGAAAAATAAGTTATCAGAAATCGCGCCTGCCATTTGGTGCACTGCTCTGTGACGAAAACAAGCTTAAGCAATGGCGACATCGAACAGTGCACATTCGGTAAGTAATCCTACAATTTTTTGTTTATAGCATAGTTTATACGGATTATTCCCAAAAAAATATACATGTTTTGGAAATGTTGAGTCGAATTAATCTAGGAATTGATTAATTTTATGGAAGAAAACCTTTCAAACAGCCGTAGTCCATATACTTCACACGTGTCGGGCTGTGATTGGCAAGGTCTCCTAAAACATCAATTTCATAAAACGGAACGTATCTACCGTGTTATAGGGGGGTTGACTGTATAGAAAATTGAAAGCAGCATTTTTGGCATATTTTGCTTTTTTTATATCAAAAAGGTAAGAATGCTGTTCAAGCAAGAAAAAATTGTGTGACGTGTATGGAGATGTGTTGACAGAACAATAATGCCAAAACTGGTTTGCAAAATTTCGTTCTGGCAATTTCAATATTGATGGTGCACCACGTTCTGAAAGGCCAGTTGAAGCTGATGAAGACAAAATAAAGATATTGATTGAAGCAAACCACCAAATAATAATATAAGAAATTACTAAGAGATTAAATTTGTCAAATTCAACTATTTATGATCCCTTGAAACAACTTGGTTTCATTTCAAAGCTCAATATATGAGTTCCACATGTTCTTAAAGAAAGAGATTTGCTCTGTCACATTGACATCTGTGATTTTCTTCTCAAATGTCAAGAAAATGATCCATTTTTGAAGTGAATCATAACTGGTGATGAAAAATGGATTGTTTACAACAATGTCAAATGCAAACAATCATGGAGTAGAAGAGATGAGCCAGCTCAAAGTACTTCAAAAGCCGATATTCATAAAAAAAGTGATGCTTCCTGTTTGGTGGGATTTTCAGGAAACTGTTTTTTTTAGCTTCTACCAGACAATTCCACAATTGATTTGAAAGTGTACTGCATCAACTGGACAAATTGAATGATACTGTCAAACAGAAAAGGCCAGAATTGATAAACAGAAAAGATGTAGTGTTTCACCATGATAATGTGCCAGACCTCACAGAAGTTTGGTATCTCATCAGAAGTTGTTACAGCTTGAATGGATGTGCTACCATACCCACCATATTCACCAGATCTGGCACCCTCAGATTATTACTTGTTCCGGTCTTTATAAAATTTTTAAACGGTAAAACATTTACTTCAAATAAGGACGTCAAAAATCACTTGGACCAGTTTTTTGTAAGCAAAGATCAAAACTTTTATGAGCGTGGAATCATGCTACTACAGAAAGATGGCAAAAGCTATTGGATCAAAATGGTCAATATATAATTCAATAAAATATTTATATAAGAAAATTGGTTTTTTCAGGAAAAAAATGAAATTACTTTCTGAACAACTCAATAGTCAAAAATAGTATTTATGGTTAGTTAATATAAATTCAAATTATACTGATATTTCATAATAATATTTATTAATTATATATTTACATAAATGTTACAAACATATACACTTTTTATCATAATTATCACATTAATGCTGAAATATCTTTTACAAAGAATTAACATAACTAGAATTTAATCGTATATNCAAAAACTTCCTTCTCTGTCAGTTGTGTGTCAAATGACTAACAAATTGTTTTCTTGCACTCAGGGAAATGTTTACTTTTAGATTTAACAACTAATATTACCAGTAATGAGGTCTATAATTTTATTTTTAATTATTAAAAAACTGTTGATAAAATTACCGAATAAATGTTTGGGTTACAATTACTAAATGGTATTGCTATGTAATGAATATAAATTTTAATTGTTGCAAAATTGAAAGTATTAAATTTCTCATCATGCTCTGATTGCCAGACAGCTGGGCAATAACACTGAAGTGAGAAATTGCATTGTCAAAAATAGCTGCAATGACTTATTTGAAATGAATTGAGATTGGTCCTGTCATTGAAACCAGAAGAAAAAGTTTGAATATATAGTATTGTAGTAAAGGTTAAATATTCTACATTGCTTTTTTATTGAATTGCGTAACAATCACAAGAGTACAGTGATCTCACGCTGCAAAAGAATTTATTGCAGGTAGTAGTAAGGTTTTGTTTTTCGTAAAATTTCTCTAAAGAAGAAAGGTCATAAACTTGAAAACCACTGTCAGGATCACTTCAGAACATATCAGTTAAAAATTACTACAAAGCTTGCAGTTCAACTGTTATTTATTTTTGAGAAATTCAATTAAAAAATTGCCATGTATCTGCTGGATACATATGCAACAAAGTAAGAGTTAAATAAGTTAAGGAATACATTGCATAAAAAGGCTTATAGCACTTAATATATAAGAAAATTATTTTATTGTATATTATATGGAAGTTTTTAATCTTTAATCATATTTTTTTATTAAAAAAGATGAATTTGAAATTCATTGTTTTGCATTATTGTAATAATTTATTATATTTTTAAAGATTTAAACAAAATTTTTAAAACTGAATCTATAAAATCATCAGCAGAACCTGAAAGACTATTAAAACTGAAGACTGAAAACTATTAAAATACATTTTAATACATTTAATGCATTAAGGTAATAAAGGATGCATACAAGTACATCAAAGAGAATTACTGAAATTCATTATTATAAACTACAAGAAAAAGCTTTATTGCACAATCAAAAGGAATAGTAAAAACTGCAAATGAAGAAACATTGCTCCAGAACATTTTTTCAAATTAAAATCCCACAAGAAAAATCTCAAATTCCCCAAAAGAAAATTAAAATCAGGTAATAGAAGCTGTATTTTAAACTGTCTAACATTTGCTTAACAAAAATTTTAAAGCTTATACTAACCAAACTTATAATTCTCATTACTTTATCTAGCTAAATATTTATATTTAAAATTAACTAAATTCAATATTACCTATATTGAATGGTAAAGTTTCCAAATAGTACTATATGCAATAATTTGAAGCAGAATAAAGACACTGTATATCTAAAAAAAATTTATCATCTAATATTAAAGATATACAGTCAAACTTCAGTTTTTGAACAACTCACTTTCAGAACAATTCAGTTCACGAACAGAATTTTAAACTCAAAATTGCTCCAGTTGCCGAACAAGCTACTCAGCAACAGCCAGCCACAGATTAGAGATACAGACGTCAACTCCCTATACTTCCAATGTTAAAGAAAGTCTACGGTCTGACCAATCAATGACAGGACTACTGATTTAAAAGTTAGTGATGCCAAGATTGCTTGTCATTATTAAACATTATGACACAAATCACCAATAATGTTGCTATTTAAATTAGATTTCAATGAGCATACAGGAAAGATACTACTACTGTTTTTTGGTACACACTGCAGTCAAATTTAAATCAAATTAATTAATAAAAGCTGCATTAATTGACATTTGTGTAATATAAACAACATCCATAAATCTATGTTTAATTTAATGATGCTTAAGTCAAATCAAATAACAAAAATTTATTAATATAACATTACATTATATTATATATATTATTACATTGCATTTGTAAACATTTTTTTGCATGAGGAATGGATTAATCCATTTTATACTGTTTCTTACAGAAAAATTTCTTTTCGGTTTTAGAACAAATTTTTTTTGCACTTTTAGGAATGAATTATATTTGAAAACTGAGGTTTGACTAGATAAAAACTTCATTCCATAATGAATTTGGGTTCCTCTATACTAATTCCTTAATATTTCTGCTATAAAATCAATTTTTTTAAGAAAAAGAAAAACTTAAACTAATCAATGTTATCAATTATCTAGAGAAATTAAAGATTTGTGTAAACATTAATTCAATAACTTACATGTAAAATTTGGGGCTGAAATTTTTGTCAGATAATTACATAAATTTTACTTATAAATTTCAACATAAGTTTATAGAAACCTTAACTGTCATCCAAGCACGTCAAGTTTTGTGACGTCACATGGTGCGTTGTATCTGCTGAATACATAAATCAAATTAATGCTATTTTTATATTTTTACTGATATATATGCTTGATTACGATTATATCTTCAATTTTAACATTTTCTCTACTATCTAACAGTAACAAAATACTTCTAAGTTTAAAAAAATGAAATTTTTATTTATATTTTCTGTAATTTGACCTGTAAATGCAAAAAAAATAAACTTATCAAATTTCATCTCACTATAAATAACTTTAACATTTATTTATTGACATCAGATTTGTTAAATTTCACAGGATCGTATTATTTTTCAAGTTCAGGTTTGTAAAGCTTTGTTTATTTTCTCCTGTGAAAGTAATAGACTCTACTGGTCCCCCACTGTGAACAATAACAAACTGCTAGCCCGTTTTATTACTTTGTTTTCAAAAACTTCCTTCTCTGTCAGTTGTGTGTCAAATGACTAACAAATTGTTTTCTTGCACTCAGGGAAATGTTTACTTTTAGATTTAACAACTAATATTACCAGTAATGAGGTCTATAATTTTATTTTTAATTATTAAAAAACTGTTGATAAAATTACCGAATAAATGTTTGGGTTACAATTACTAAATGGTATTGCTATGTAATGAATATAAATTTTAATTGTTGCAAAATTGAAAGTATTAAATTTCTCATCATGCTCTGATTGCCAGACAGCTGGGCAATAACACTGAAGTGAGAAATTGCATTGTCAAAAATAGCTGCAATGACTTATTTGAAATGAATTGAGATTGGTCCTGTCATTGAAACCAGAAGAAAAAGTTTGAATATATAGTATTGTAGTAAAGGTTAAATATTCTACATTGCTTTTTTATTGAATTGCGTAACAATCACAAGAGTACAGTGATCTCACGCTGCAAAAGAATTTATTGCAGGTAGTAGTAAGGTTTTGTTTTTCGTAAAATTTCTCTAAAGAAGAAAGGTCATAAACTTGAAAACCACTGTCAGGATCACTTCAGAACATATCAGTTAAAAATTACTACAAAGCTTGCAGTTCAACTGTTATTTATTTTTGAGAAATTCAATTAAAAAATTGCCATGTATCTGCTGGATACATATGCAACAAAGTAAGAGTTAAATAAGTTAAGGAATACATTGCATAAAAAGGCTTATAGCACTTAATATATAAGAAAATTATTTTATTGTATATTATATGGAAGTTTTTAATCTTTAATCATATTTTTTTATTAAAATTATTCACTGATGCTTCAAGATGGACAGGGATTCTTTAAAACTTAAGACTAATCTCTAACTTTTAAAAATTTTTGTTGAATTTTTCCGTCCGATGGCTGGATTATTATTAAATAAATCAAAGACAAGTCTGTCCATTAATGTGTATGTGTAGTCTGGAATGCAAAATAAATGGTGATTCCTCTTGGACAGACTTGTCTTTGATTTATTTAATTTATTTAATTTTAAAATTTTATTTTATTCTGCTTTAAATGCAGAACTTAATATGATAGATAACACAGAACAGGTGACATCCTTCAAACATTTTAGCTCATCTATTGATGTCATAAACTAATCAATGGTTAAACTGTATTGATAGTTGAACTTTGAAATGCACCTAAACAAAATAACAATAAGTAAAGTTTGTTTAATTATGGCAATACAACACTTGGGCAATCTGCCTAGGGGGACACTTTCTGGAAGGTCTTCTTTTTTTTTAAGGAAAACTGGCCCCTATTTAGGTGTCACAGATGTGGAGAAAACCTGGAAAACTCCACGTGGCCAGCCCGTCCAAGCGAGGCACAAACCCACAACCGAACTCCCAGTGTTCAGGGTACAAAGACTTGCTTGGTGGGCACTCAATAAGTAAAGTATTATCATCAAAAGACTTCTGACAAAATAACTAAGCAGCTGACTCAACCAAATTTACTATTTTTTTAATCTTGAAAAAGCATAATAACAAAAAAATTTCAGAGAGAAATATAAAGCTGTGAATGAATAGAGTACCCATAGAGTGACCTTTAAGAATAGCTTAAAACTAATAAACTAGCAAAATTTGGCCAATTACGCGATAGCAGATCCAACAGAGATCGACATCAAATGGAGCAAGGCAGATGTCATACAAAAAGTGAAAAATATAAAACATCTAAAATATGCAGAAGCCTGGCACATTTACAAGAGCAAAGAAAAAGGGCGTAATATAAATTTCCGTGAATCGAACAAAATAGCGTCGGCATGGAAAGCGGCAACTTTAAAATTATAAAATTATATTTATGAGCATGCGCAATCGAGAAGAACGTGCAGTTTGGAATCTCCGTTATGCAAATTTGAAATATATTTCGATTGATAATTCGATCCTGATGAAGGTTTGTGAATCAGACCGAAAACGTTCGACAGATGTAAACTAGACTGCATTTTAAAGGTATAGTGAATTTTTGTTAAATAGTAATGCAGTTAGAGATAGAATGAATAGAACTAATAAACTAGAAACTTAAATATGCATTGTGATCAATAAATTTTACTGTACTCTTGATTATATAAAAGGGCTGTTACACCTTATGAGAAATTGGTGGAAATTTAGATTCCAGGAATAATAAGTGATTTTGGGAGATTATTAATTTCTTCCTTAAAACTAAGCATAAAACTGTTACACAGTAAAATTGTATAGAGTATTCTTCAGCTAATCTCTATTCTATAGATGTAAATACTGTACTGATTCTACTGTACCAATAATAATTGTTTTCACTGATATTATGAATGTCTGCATGCTGAGATAAATGGCAGAAGTACAGCCTTCACATCCTTGAAACAGTAATCAGCTTTTGGAATTGATAACATCCCAATAGAGTTCCATAAAAATTCTCCAGGTTTGTTGATCTTTTTTAATAAAATTTACAGTTCAAGTGAGATTTCATCAACATGAAGATTCATTAATATAATACCTATTATAACATAATCATGACTCTTTTGAGACCTATTACCAATATTATCCAAGATTTCTGGTAAAATTTTGTGCAAATTGCCTGGATGAACATAGTTTTTACAAATTATCAAATAGATTTTGATCAAATTTTTCTGCAATATATTTTTGTATTATATACATTTATTCATAAATCTTTCAAAAGAAAACATAGTAAACGTTATCTTTTTCAAAAGTTTTCATGTTTCTTTTGACATTGAACAGAATCATTTTATAAAAACACTTTGGAAGATAAATTTTCTGACTATTAATACATTAATATACATAATAAAAAAGTCAGTGTGTTAATAGTCAGAATTACTCCTGTGCACTCAAGTATTAACCTAACTATTTGTGAAAACAAATCCACATAACACAATCTCAAACAAAACCTGATTCTACCACATTTTAATTAATAAGTATATATTTTCCGACCCACACTTATTATCTTACAAAAAATTCAGCATTACAATTATTGCTTCTACTTTATCAACTGCTCTTTAAAAAAGTGAATATAATTATTTAACTACTTACTTTGCTTTTATTATCTGAATGTAATACTTTATAAAAGGAAAGCAAATCTTCCTCTGTGAGTAAATAATTTCCTAATAAAGCTGCAAGTATACAAAATCGATTTGGATGCAAATTAAGACTTTTTGCAACTTCATCCAATATAAATTCTCTTGTTTCTAATGAGCCCTAAACAAGAGAAATAAAACATAAATTAAAATAAATACAATAAATAACTTAAAATATATTATATATTATTGAAATAATCGGAAATTTATATTATTAAAAATAAATTTATACAAAGTTAACAAACCTTTCATTTATTCAAATATTGCTTTAATTTCATATAAAATAATAACTTCATTTAATGTTTCCTATTATTAATTTACAGTCATGCTTTTTCCAAAAATAAAGTAGGCCTATATGATTTCCATTTTGCCACAATTTAAATAACCAAACTGTTATCAACTCATAAATTAGTTTATCTCATTCAAAATATTATTAGGATGGCTATTCATTGCACAGAAATTTAAATCTATGATGATTTAATAATTTATAGTCTATTAACATTCCTTCCACAAATTTGTACATTCTCACATTTGAATAAATTATTGATCTCTTGATTTTACATTAAAGGTAACAATTTTTTATAATTGCAGGCAAGCTTATTTCTCTCGTCAAGTTACTTTATATAAATACTAACAGTTTATGTCAAGTCCTAATTTACTGACATAATATAATAGCATTAAAAAAAATTGACACAAAAACATATATGGACTGTATGAAAAAGTATCTTTATAAATTGAATGAAAGTTACTTGAAAAGAAGAATGTAAATAATATACAGATTTAATTCATTAATATTTTCATTGCTGCAGTTAATGTCTGATTTCGTATGTGTATTTTCTATATCGCATTAAATGTATCTACTGAATTAATTTTAGTTTTTGTAACTGTAATAAGATTGTTTATTGAGGAAAGAGACAATCTGCTTCTAAGGCAGGAGTGTCCAACCTTTTTGTTTCTCTGGGCCACATTGGAAGAAGTCACAAAGTTCTGGGCCACAAATATATTGTGACCCAATTTTTAAATATACAAATAATATATACATGTCTAGATTATAGTAATAAGTATTAAAACTTTATCACGAGAAAGGATATTTTAAAAAATTATTTCTACNATAAATAACTTTAACATTTATTTATTGACATCAGATTTGTTAAATTTCACAGGATCGTATTATTTTTCAAGTTCAGGTTTGTAAAGCTTTGTTTATTTTCTCCTGTGAAAGTAATAGACTCTACTGGTCCCCCACTGTGAACAATAACAAACTGCTAGCCCGTTTTATTACTTTGTTTTCAAAAACTTCCTTCTCTGTCAGTTGTGTGTCAAATGACTAACAAATTGTTTTCTTGCACTCAGGGAAATGTTTACTTTTAGATTTAACAACTAATATTACCAGTAATGAGGTCTATAATTTTATTTTTAATTATTAAAAAACTGTTGATAAAATTACCGAATAAATGTTTGGGTTACAATTACTAAATGGTATTGCTATGTAATGAATATAAATTTTAATTGTTGCAAAATTGAAAGTATTAAATTTCTCATCATGCTCTGATTGCCAGACAGCTGGGCAATAACACTGAAGTGAGAAATTGCATTGTCAAAAATAGCTGCAATGACTTATTTGAAATGAATTGAGATTGGTCCTGTCATTGAAACCAGAAGAAAAAGTTTGAATATATAGTATTGTAGTAAAGGTTAAATATTCTACATTGCTTTTTTATTGAATTGCGTAACAATCACAAGAGTACAGTGATCTCACGCTGCAAAAGAATTTATTGCAGGTAGTAGTAAGGTTTTGTTTTTCGTAAAATTTCTCTAAAGAAGAAAGGTCATAAACTTGAAAACCACTGTCAGGATCACTTCAGAACATATCAGTTAAAAATTACTACAAAGCTTGCAGTTCAACTGTTATTTATTTTTGAGAAATTCAATTAAAAAATTGCCATGTATCTGCTGGATACATATGCAACAAAGTAAGAGTTAAATAAGTTAAGGAATACATTGCATAAAAAGGCTTATAGCACTTAATATATAAGAAAATTATTTTATTGTATATTATATGGAAGTTTTTAATCTTTAATCATATTTTTTTATTAAAATTATTCACTGATGCTTCAAGATGGACAGGGATTCTTTAAAACTTAAGACTAATCTCTAACTTTTAAAAATTTTTGTTGAATTTTTCCGTCCGATGGCTGGATTATTATTAAATAAATCAAAGACAAGTCTGTCCATTAATGTGTATGTGTAGTCTGGAATGCAAAATAAATGGTGATTCCTCTTGGACAGACTTGTCTTTGATTTATTTAATTTATTTAATTTTAAAATTTTATTTTATTCTGCTTTAAATGCAGAACTTAATATGATAGATAACACAGAACAGGTGACATCCTTCAAACATTTTAGCTCATCTATTGATGTCATAAACTAATCAATGGTTAAACTGTATTGATAGTTGAACTTTGAAATGCACCTAAACAAAATAACAATAAGTAAAGTTTGTTTAATTATGGCAATACAACACTTGGGCAATCTGCCTAGGGGGACACTTTCTGGAAGGTCTTCTTTTTTTTTAAGGAAAACTGGCCCCTATTTAGGTGTCACAGATGTGGAGAAAACCTGGAAAACTCCACGTGGCCAGCCCGTCCAAGCGAGGCACAAACCCACAACCGAACTCCCAGTGTTCAGGGTACAAAGACTTGCTTGGTGGGCACTCAATAAGTAAAGTATTATCATCAAAAGACTTCTGACAAAATAACTAAGCAGCTGACTCAACCAAATTTACTATTTTTTTAATCTTGAAAAAGCATAATAACAAAAAAATTTCAGAGAGAAATATAAAGCTGTGAATGAATAGAGTACCCATAGAGTGACCTTTAAGAATAGCTTAAAACTAATAAACTAGCAAAATTTGGCCAATTACGCGATAGCAGATCCAACAGAGATCGACATCAAATGGAGCAAGGCAGATGTCATACAAAAAGTGAAAAATATAAAACATCTAAAATATGCAGAAGCCTGGCACATTTACAAGAGCAAAGAAAAAGGGCGTAATATAAATTTCCGTGAATCGAACAAAATAGCGTCGGCATGGAAAGCGGCAACTTTAAAATTATAAAATTATATTTATGAGCATGCGCAATCGAGAAGAACGTGCAGTTTGGAATCTCCGTTATGCAAATTTGAAATATATTTCGATTGATAATTCGATCCTGATGAAGGTTTGTGAATCAGACCGAAAACGTTCGACAGATGTAAACTAGACTGCATTTTAAAGGTATAGTGAATTTTTGTTAA